TTCCAGTATGAATGTGTAAGTATAGCCTTTTTCACATAATGATATAATCTTGTAACCTTCAGATATAGGTTTATTTTTTATCCTAAATGTATGTTTACTACGCTCTAAAAATCGTATTATCATTTCATCAATCATTACATTTGAACCTGATATATACATTTGTTTGCTAATATTTCGAACATGTGACATAAGAGGTTCAACCTTATCAAACCAATGAAGTTTTTCAGAATTAATATCTGAAATATGTAAGTACCATTTTATTTGTTGAAAACGTATCATTGACATTGTTTGAATAATATCATGCTGAGGTTATTTAGGATCAACTGACCAATAATCTGTTATCTGTAACAACTTAATTAAATCTATGTATATAATAATTTCTAACCAAATTTTCAATTCTTCTAATGTTAAAGGTAACCAAACTCGCCCATCTATGCTAGCATTTTTTGATTTTGCATATTCATTAGTGTTTGTTAAAATTTTAATAAGAATAGATTGTAAAAAAAATAATCTAATTAGTCCATATAGATTAATATTATTGTCAGGTAATGCTAATAGCAATCTAACAAAACTTGAATAAAATGGCATATCATGTTCTAAATTATTAAAATCTGGAGGAACAGGTAATTGCGTAATTACTTTAGCTTTTCTTTCTGAACCTGCATTATTTTCTCTATTTTTACTTCTACAACCTTTTTTTTCTCTTCTAGTTTTTTCTTTGTTTTGTAGTAATACTGTAATATTTGATTCGATTTGTTCTTCATTAAAAATACTTGTATCATTACTCAATTTTGTATTATCACCATTGCTATCATAATCATTGTCTTTAAGCATCTCTTCAGCTAAAAGATCTTCAAGTATTTGTGAAATAAATGAAACCTCATAAAGGTCTACCAACTCAGCAGGTAATTCTTTATTTTCTTGTATCATCATAAACTAATTAACAAAATTTTCTTAAGCTTGAATCAAAATTTAAACTAACAACCGATAATTAGTTAATAGGTTTTACCTTTTTTATTTTTTATTTAAGAAAAACACCAGAAATACTATCCTCTAATTTTAATGCCAAAAATACTATCCTTCTAATTTTAAATATTAAGGGTAGGGTATTTGTTTACATGATTTTTTCATGCAATGTGCAAATAAATATGCATATACAACCAAATATACAATTATAATTGGTTAATTTTGCAGATCAT